ATCATAAACATCCTGTTATTACAATAAATAATAACAACGAAGAATCAGACTGTAAAAGATCCAAATCCCGACTGGAAGATTGTCGTGGAGTGCGAAGACGATCCCATGTATTGATCCATGAAGAAGAATCAAGCTGAAAAGAAACAAAAGACGTGAAAGGGATTTGGAAATGAACTGTTTTTCCTCATTATTATTATTATTATTATTATTATTAGTATAAACAATATTACTGTTTGTAAAACGCCAGTTTATTCCGTAGTACTTTACGTAAAAGGAATTTATCAGATGAGACAAGAATTTTTTAACCGAAATAGGTAGCTATGATAGAGACATTAATATAGTCAAATTGAATGTATTAGGAAATCATAACAGATAGCAGTCGTAATTTCAAGATGTGATATGAAATAAACCACGTAATAATGAGATAACCACACTCCCTGAATTCAAATCTTTTATTGAAGTACAACCCAAGGAATGATAAATGGGGAGGGAAAAAGCAGGGTGGCAAAATACTCGCCTCCTGTCCTTAATAAAATTAAGATTATAAGTACACTGCGCTAGCATAATCTACAATTTTCTAACAGGACAGGAGGCTACATATTTTGCACGTGGGACAGGAGCCACCAAAGTCTCTGATGGTATCTTGTGGGTTGTCCGTAAGATGGGAGACAGTGGAAGGGCAGTGGATAGCCCAGAATGGAGTCAATAGGATCGGGAGCACCTTCGATTCTGCCGTAGTGGCAAGGTGCGTGTCACCCAGATCTCCGTAATGCGATGGTGACCAAGGAGTCCTGTTGTCAGTTGTTGTCACGAAACCCAGTTCATGATATAGGTAATCTCCTGAGGGAACCCTAGTCATAGGGTAACCTTGCGTGTAATTTAGAAATGGTAAATGTTCTCCTATAGTATGAGAGTCCGATACCAGACTCCGTCCAGGTGTTTTGTGTAGCCAGTTGCCGAGATATTGTCCAAATGTAGGAGAATACAACCATCGGATCTGTCCCAGGCTTGCTGTAGGTTGTCGGTAATCCCGACATCGGCCGTCTCTTCTCCAGATCATGGTTCTCCGGTAGGGGTATGTGCAGCGAACCTTCCAGCCCTAGAGACTGATTGTTGTTTACGTGTGTACTAAGTAATGTCTTGTAGTCTAGATAGGTGAGGTAGCAGATTCCCTTGTGGCGAAAGGGCGCCATGACCGGTTATAAAAGTTTCTTGGGTACCATGGGTCATATCTTAACGATAGACACATGAATTGATTTGTTTGGTCCCGTCGATGAAAACAAAATGGACAGATGGGTCCCTGGTGTGACTATCCTGAACGTGTATGTGTCCGTCCAATCCGAAAGATTGAACCCACCTAGGTGTGGTGAAGCTGTAGGACGGTGCCAGGATGGTAGTCTCCTGACTACTGTGAGCATAAAATTATCCTTGAGTTAACCAGTGACGTCTGGAGCGAATGCCCAGCGCTTATTGGAAATATGTGTAAGTTTCCTCATATGTGAGATTTGTGGTCCTCCAGTACCCGTAGAGGGGTGGTACTGGAAGATGTGGACTTCGACCCCCAAGGGTCGACCAGGTATCCAGATTAAGCATTAGTTCAAGGAGCTAAGTTACCCTACTGGGTCGTTCAGCTCACGAGTACAGAGGAATCCAATGTCCTATCCTCCGGCCGTCCGGAGTATTCTAGCCTCCCTACTCGAGTAGAGGTAGCTTCCTTATTTGATAACAAGGTAGACCGCTGCCCATGGTTACACCATGCGAGCATTGAAACCGGAGAAATGTAAGGGTATAGCTATTTCTTAGTAATGTTCTGTCATTGGGGTGAAGCGAGTGAGGGCGTGCGACCCAGAGTCGAACACACAGTCTCCTTGTCCTAGGTTTTGTGGCTACAATTGTATGGATCGTAGATGAAGGCCTGGCAACCCCCATTTCGTCGTTCTCTGTGTGTTATCTGACCGTGCGGCAGTCAAATCCGTGGAGTCTCAGGAGATTTCCTTATAGGGATGTTAGGTCGTTTGGATAACTTTCCGGCACAACGGGGTTCTGTTCCCAGGCTTGATTTAATTATTTGGAGGGTCCGTGATGGAATACTTGCACTTGTCCTTTGTATATGGGTGCTTGGCCCGGGGCCTAGTAGCTCATGAATTCATAGGCAGATTGGGGTACCATGGTTCACAGTCTCTGCAAGACCCTGACCCAGCCTATTGGGGATTGTTGTCTGCATTGAGGTTGCCACTGCAAATAACCTAGGCTGAAAGTCTTGCGTGAGAGGTCGTATGTTGACCTTTCGGTCTGTTGAGTATATATATCTATATATACGGTCTAGGTACATGTGTAAATGTGTTAGTACACCTACAGCACCTCCAGCCATAGTTCCATGTGGAATGCCCATCTGCGAGTGGGGGAATAATCCCAGTAGTAAGTGGGTTAATCCCAATAAGTCTGTAGACGAGTGCCGATCTGTGAGTGCATAGTAATCCATTGTTGAATGCACATCTATGAGGGTTACTCCAGTAGAAAGGGGGGTTTCACCCCAATAGTAAGGTGCACAGTAGCCCATTGGTGAATGCACATCTGTAAGTGAGGGGGGTCACCCCAGTAATAAAGTGCATAGAATCCATTGGCGGATGTGCCTCTGTGAGTGGGGGGTCACCCCAATAATAAATGTACAGGAGTCCATTGTTGAATGCACATCTTGAGTGGGGGTTCACCTCAGTAGTAAGGGGGGTCACCCCAATAATAAAGTGGACAGTAACTCATTGGTGAATGCACATCTTTGAGTGGGGCAGTCACCCCCGTAGTAAGGTGGGTCACCCCAATAATAAAGTGCACAGAAAATAAAGTTTGGATAGTTTTATTGCGGGGACTTCTCTAAGGAAGTCAGGGTCTTCCATTTCAGTGGCCGTTGCGGTGTCAGTGTCCGTTTTCAGGATCTGCACCAGTAATTTGGCAATAGCCTTCTCCACTGAGGCGGCCACCGCCGAATTTATCAGATGGTGGTGATTGTGGTGAGTCACTCATCATGAAGTAATGGAGTATAATGTCTGTGAAAGACAGGAGAATGTCAGGTACCGAAGTACGTGAGTAGTAGTACAGTAGGCTTCCACTTATGACTGAGGGTCAGCCAGTGTTATCTGACCAGAGACCCTCAGGTCGCCAGGGGTCGAGTGGCCTGAGGAGGGGGTCACCCTCTGTGCGACCGGGTTGAGTGGTCGTATAATTGGGCCGCACCCGTCAAGGGTGGAGGGCCTGTTTGGTTTGGGGTTCACCCAACAATATATGAATTGTGGACCCTGTACATTTGCAAATTCCTCCCTCCTTGGTAAGGAGGTGTGTGGATCACCCCAGTCATAGTTTTGGTGTCCGATATTCACTGCATAGAGTCATATTGTTAGTGTATGGCAGGATGTTGAACCTGCGTGCACTGTGTCTCTTTGAGCCTGTGGGGGGCTCACCCCATCTGAAAGGGGGGTCACCCCTAAATGAATCCTGAACTGAGTGCTGTATGGCTCCGCTTGGGGGTCACCTAGCTTAGGGGGTCACCCCTGTTATGGTATTGGCAGGAGCGTGAGTGGAGTTCACCCCCAACTGAGAGGGGTCACCTCTGTATAGACACTCTGCAGCAGGGTAATGGTTAATGTACAGTGCAGTTTGTTATCAGCAATGTTCCACAGTAAATGATTGTTTAATGGAAATACCTAACTATACATATCCAACGTGTGTTGAAGGGATCGTGTGAGTCATAACCGCTAGGGGCACAAACGGCCGTAGTGGGTATCGCTGGTGCGAGATCTAAAATGGCCACCGTTTGCGCCAAACTACAGCGCGTCTCGCGGTCGCGGCCCGCCGGCGTGGATGCGAAAAATAAACAGAAATTAATAGATCACAAGATATATATATATATATATATATATATATATATATATATATATATATATATATATATATATATATATATACATGGTGCTATAAATATCACAGCTCCTGACAGGCATTGAAAACCCTTTAGGAGAAATGAGAGCATTCCAGACCGCGTGATTCATGGTCTGGGAAGGTGGGTGGCCGCCCTGGATCTCGCGGTCCGCGATACCCAAAATGGCCGCCGTTCGCATGCAAATCTTAATGCCGGTAACGTGGATTCCCACACTCCCCCTCCCGCTGACCCTAACCGATGCCCCAGTACCTGGTTTGATAAGCGCGATCGCAGTAACTTGCCGCGATCGCGAAGTGAATAACAGGAGATAGTGAGAGGGAAGCAAAGGTAGTACAGGTGGGGATATAGGGGAGAAAGGGAAAAATTGAAGAGAATAAATGATAATCAAATATAGAGACAATTCATCAAAACTAGTGTGAATGTAAAACCATAGTAAGAATGAGCAGAGAATAAAATATTCTGACAGAGTAAATGTAAATTCAATAGTAAGAATGAGCAGAGAAAGGAAGCTCTGACAGAGTAAATGTAAATTCAATAGCAGAGAATATGACCTGTCTAACTGGAGCAGCAAAGAAAGAGGAAATGATGCAAGAGGAAGGACCTTTTATACCCTATGGCAATGGTTTTTTTTTTCACTAAAGTTTATTGTTAAACCTTTGCTGCTGGAGTTTTAGTAAAGAAAGATTATGCAAAATACGAAGCCTCCTGTCCTGTTATAAAATTGTCCAGCCGTAAAATCACCAGGTCAGGGAACAAACGTTTCTTTGAGTTCTAAACAGTTGAAAAATTTCTGAGATGATTTACATATTAGCATTTTGCTTACCTGCTACATGTAAAGAAGAGCTGCTTGTTCGACATAGATTCCGCAGATTCTTAGAAACCAGTTGTTGTACATGGCTAGATTAAATGTGCTATAATTTCCCAGCCATAAAGAAACACAAACATCAATATAGTTTCATGTCTTTTTAAGTTTATTGCTTTACAAACAAAGCATTTTAAGAATCAATTTAATGCTGCTTTCAAATGTACTTTTTTTTCTGTTGTTTTTCAGTTAATAAGTCTTGTACAAAAAATAAAATACAAATAAATAGACAGATACCATGATTCTTAACATATTCAGTTAATGAAATACGCATGGTACAATAAATTCAACAAACAATGGCATTTATTCACTAAAGAGTGAATTGTGATGAAATAAAAACTGACTTTACAATATTTAAAAAAAAAAAAAAAAGAATAATATCAACCTAATTTACAGTGAGTTGTAGGCTACTGATTTCTGTAACATTTGCTCCAGGACGCTGTCACAATATCAGTGGTAGTAAAACACTTGCTGATGTCTACTAAAGACGGACCTGTTAGCTGTCATGAGAGCTTCTTGCTCTAGGGCAAGGGTTTCCAACCCAGTCCTCAGGTACCCCTTAACAGTCCAGGATTTAGGGATTACCCTGTTGTGTCTAAAGTGGTTTTTTTTCTAAAACACCTTAGACACAACTGGGTAATCCCTAAATCCTGGACTGTTAGGGGATACTTAAAGACTAGGTTGGGAACCACTGCTCTAGGGGAAAGAATACTCTGTATGTGCACAGTAAGAATCACCGTAAGTATAATTACTTCCCACTTAAAATGTTACTCCAAGTACCATGACCATATCACTGATTTGAAGTAGTCCTGATGCATGGAGTCTGTATGTGCATTGTTTCACAGACTCTGCACATATAGAGTAGTAGCCGTTTGCTGCCAGGGGTGTAACTCCACCTCCAACTGCATCATTAGAGCATTATTAATGTCAAGTCCGTACATACTGGATGTCAGTTGTCAACATAAACAGCATGCTGGTGACAGACAAGCAATGGCGGCATGACCTACCTCTCCATGCAGATTAAGGTGACCTTGGCCTCAGAGCTGCATTTAGGTGATTCCCCCCCCATTTTGTTTATTTATTTGGTGGGGGAGGGGCAACATACCAAGAAGAGTTGCACCATCCCCAAAAAAAGAGTTTAATTAAAACACTGTTTTTTGGTTAGACTAACTCTTTAACAGTCAACTCAGTTCGATTAATGGTACTCCCTAATTAGAACCAAACTAGTTGTTGAAAAAAATTTAATAAACTCAGTTACATTATTAACTATCTTATTTTGTCCTACATTTTGGATATTCAGATTAAATTCACCACAAGTCACAAAATAAAGTCTCTGTTCTCTTTTTTTTCTACTTCACAGAACAAGTACAATAATAAAGGTTACACTGGAAATGTACCTCATCGACAGCACCTGATAAACCTTTAAGTTCCAATAGATTTTTATTCTCATTTTTTTTAATAAAAAATAAATATGCATAAAATGACCTTATACGACTCTTGCAGCCAATGAACAGTAATCTAGCCTTTTCACTATGGAAGTCTTGTGTGTATATTAATGAACATTAAGAGATAGAGGCAGTACATTTTAAAAGATAAAAAATGGATGTGCAGCCTGTTTTAAATTGTTCATATTTAGAATTGCACATTATTTCCTACTCCTGTGTTTATCTTGTCATTTTTAATTAAAAAGCATTGGCTTATTGAAGTAATTTTTATGTTTCAGCTAATGGAATATACAATTCTAGTCCACATATAATGTTTAGAAAGCAACACAACAGACTCGCTGTTAATTTATCTTTCACACTGAAGAGTATTGCATATTGTCCTATAGCAATGATGACTCACATTGGCACCAAAAACCCCCCACATAAAGCCTAGCAGAGCTTTATGGGAGATACAATTTACCTAAATCTGATGTGCCACGGTTAGCCATGATTGCCCTACAAAAAGAAGAGACATTTACAGTTACAAATCTAAAATTATAAGATATTTGGCACAGTAAATGTGGAACTCTGCATGAAAATCACTCAATATGGTATATATCTGAAAGAACAGATGACGATGTTTACACAAGCTTGCAAAATGTAGGTAAAAGTAGAATTGGAACAAGTTGCCAACTCTGTTGAATTACACATTTTAATCAGATTATGCATTTTCAGCCTAAATTCGGCAAGCCAGGACTGGATTTGTAGTGAATGGGCTTTTATATGTATTTCTACAGTGCTAAATGAATATGAAAAGTTGACCAGTTTCACTTGTAAATATATCGTTTTCTACCCTGTGAAAATAGAAAAGGGAACAATCAAGGGAAGGCAATTACCGTTTTCTAAAATAAATCTACTCTTTAATAGAAATGTCTTTGCACTAGATACAATCTTCTATCTAAATCAAATGCTTACATCTCACCTGTCTTGCAATATCAAATGTATATCTAGTTATAGCAATCTAGAAGAAAATACAGCAATACATTATATTTACTTGACAAGTAAAATCATTACGTAGAAAATGCGAGTTAATTTTTGTGCTGCAATGTAACCACAAAACCAGCTAATCTGCCCACCAAATGAAAATGAACGCTGTTGTAATTGTTTTTTTATCATCTACAATATGGAACTGATACTCAATATTTAATTAGGCAGGACAACATTGAAAACACAAGTATAAATAACCACACTGGTTTAGTCAAACTTTGGTAATCTAGCTGCTATGGACTATGATTTCCACAATTGTTAGTCAACATCCCAGTTGTCCTAATTAGGGCTTTTCCATAAAGTGATTATTGTCGGGAATTTAATATGAATTTCAAATTTAAGGCAAAAAGAGCAGACCTGGAAAAGTTCTCAAAATCAGCTAAGCTTCTTGATTGACTACTTAGGTTTTAAATTTGAAATTCACTTGAATTTGAATAGGCTTGCATATAACTTATAATACAGAGTAGTTGTCCTGCCAGTAATTTTCTATACTTGCTACAATCTGCCTTATTCTCCAATCAGAGAAACATGAAGCAAAAAAAAGTGTTTTTAGGAAATCCTGCACTCAGTTCACTTAAAAGAACATTCCAAGTACCATAACCATTACAAATCAAAGGTAGTGATTATGATGTCATGGAGCCTGACACTCTACCAGAGTAATCTATCAAACCATTTTAGGACAGTTTGACAACTTACCTAGGTCCTCCAGGTGCGATATTGCAAAATGTCTCCACTGAGCTAAAATGGTTGACGCAGGACCACGCTCTTTGGTTGAGTGTGCTCAGCTGATATTCTCAACCAAAGTCTGCATTGCTCTGCTCGGCTCAGTGGAGCTGACTAAATGTTCCTGCAAGGAGAATCTGGAAGCAGATGGAAAGACTAAACAATATTTTGCATCGTTCACTATTTTCCCCGGTGTATTTGCCATGCAATGTTTCATATCTAGCACTGACTGTATTGTTCTAACAATGCATGGTTTACTGAATCATTCCATTATGGGTAGAGATCTTGGTAACTATTTTGGGTATAATAGTAACTATAGAATTAGAGAGCATGGTTGTAGAAAACTATATGTAAAATTGTGGTGCTTGGTGCTAGTGTCCTTCGCCCATTTCTGATGTGCCTTACACTTTTTGGCATATAAATACGGTTTATACATTCACAAAGATGCTCATTTTTAGTTTGTGACACATTAATAATACAAAGTCAGACTTTTCTATTCCCACTATCTTTGAGGGGTGAGCACATATAATTTTTTTTCAAGAGACAATCAAAGCACCAAAGCCACTGCATCTTATTAAAGTGGTTTTGGTGCATTTTTTCCTTTTTGCTGAAAATTAAAACATCAAAAAAGAACAATGTTTGCATTTGGTGGCAAACATGTCTTTAGAAACCATCAACCAGACAGCTTCCTCCTTAAAGATCCTTCATTTGTCTATGGTCTTCACATTTGGTGTCATCCTGGACAGCGTAATGACACCAAACATAGCATTAGGACATTGCAGAAAGCGTGACTGCATGTCCTAAATGAACGGCGAGCTGAGCTGTCATTCAGCTTGTTCCCCACGAGTGCCCACACCATGCATGGTTTAGCATTAACTGCTTCAATATGAGAAGCACCGGATTAGTTGAAAGTCATTAAGCTTCATGACTTCAAAGTAGGTGATACAACTGCAGTGAGGATTCAGTCTTGGCATTGGAATAAAGGAACATTGAATTGCATTTTAATATTTTTTTTAAATACTGGGGTGGAGGGGCTAAATCTAAAAATCTAGACACAGTAGGCTTGAATAAATGGATTTTTTCAACACAGTTATTCTTTTGTACTTGTGTTGTCTACTCTTCGTATTTTACCTTTGATATTCCATGTTACAAATCTGAGCTCACAAAAGATGTTTTGAGTAACTTAACTCTTTGTTTTCGTAAACTTAGCTCGTTATTAACTTTACAATAGCTGCCTTTTAATATGTGCAAAACCTTCTTCTTGATATTTAGAAGTGTTATCAAATTAGGTTTAGTTGTAAACATCTTACGTTTAGTACGTTTAAGATCCTTTTACAAACTTGTCAATGTAAAATCTGAAGTTTAGAAGAAGTCAAGTGTCTACATTAATTATTTAATGTAACTGAATATGATCTTGGATGTGATCGTTAAGTGAGATAGGCAGCATGGCATGTACTTATGGTACTCTAATATGGGATATTAGGTATTACCCAATGGTGGATATCAACAGGCACCATTTGTTTACAAGCAGTGTATATTACATATTAAGCATCTTGTATTATATCAATATGAAGTGCACTTTTAAGCATTCAGCAGGTAAAAGACACAGGCACAAAGCCACTAACCCTGAGGTAGATGCTTTAAAGTGTCCATAACTATATTTTAAAGGAAAATTTTAAACTTTCTAACAATTATTATACGTTCTATGGATGACACAATGGATTCCCGTCTCCAGCACTAAAGCCATTGTTGAAATGCAGCTCTTAAATCCTTGACAAGGCTCGCTAATTATTAGAGGAATTGTAGCTTCACAACATGCTGATGATCACAAGTCACACAGCCTTATTTTACAGTTTTCCCTGACCATCTCTTTGCAAGCAAAGAAAAGAAGACATAACATTTATATCATAAGTTTAATCTCTAAATTCTAAGACTGAAATCAGAAATTGAGAGATGCGAACAGACAGTAAATTTTTGGGTTGTGTATTACAATAAGTTACAACCCTACATTGCATGCTCCTGTCTGCTGTTAATATGGTCACTTGTAATCCCTTTTAATTTTCATGGATTCTATTGCTTCAAATAAAATAAACAAAAGTTGTTTTGTATTGATGTACATTTTTATAAACTATACTCTTAACATTGTAAAATCGTACCTTTATTTTTCTAGCACACAAAATGAGACGTCAAGTACAATTTCTCTTTCAGACATGCCAGAAGGCTCATTTTAGATATTTATACTGTACTGATTTAAAGTACACGTCTTGAGATCTACAACGCTGGTTTCTCTGGCAGCACAAACTGCATACAGCAGAATTCTCTAAGGTTCTAAACTTAGCTAATCTTAGATGTCTCTGTTCGACAGGAGTTCAATTGAGGGTGATTTTATGGCTCACATTTTTAGAAAAATATCAAGGTGGATTAATATTACGTATTTCAGAGAAAGATGTGTACAGCTGACTTGCTATGTATTATGTTTAAATGACACATGTATTTTCAATGGAATGATAATTTAAACCCATATTTACATTTAATTTTAAAAACATGGTATGATTCTAGGATGGTGCATTGGTTGATTATTTTTGGAATATGACATTACAATGTACCAATGATGAACAAAAAATATATCAAATATTTTCGTTTAAAAAAACATTTTATGAAGCCATATTTTCAAGTACAAAAAAGTTATGAATATTTATAAGAGGTAAAATAAATGTAAAAAAAAATATATTTGGACATATATACACAAACACATTTGAGAAATACATGATTGAAGCAAATGTTTGCAGTAATTAAAATAAATACAATTTAAGATTCTAATAAGCAAATTGTATCAGAGCTTTACATGGGAAGGAAGTGTCAGAGAAAAGAGTGATAAATAATGTGAAAATGTACAAGAATGTGATAATTTGAAGACATGACAACTGTGCAATAGGAGTATTGTATATTTTCTATTGAGTTTACAGTCACTTTAGTATGCTGGGATACTTTTCAGTGTGTGAACATATTTGGAACACATTTGAAGAACTTAAAGGGACGCTGTGGTCACCAGAACAACTAAAGCTTATTGCATTTGTTCTGGTGAGTATAATCATTCCCTTCAGGCTTTTTGCAGTAAACACTGGTTTTTAATCAGAGAAAATGCAGTGTTTACATAACAGCCTAGGGATACCTCTACTGGCCACTCCTCAGATGGCTACTAGAGGTGTCTCCACCCTCTGTATGGAGACACTGAACTTTCCTCATAGAGATGCATTGGTTCAATGCATCTCTATAAGGAGATGCAGATTGGTCAGGGCTGTGTTTGGCTTGTGCTGGATTTGCCTCTGTTTTGCCTCCTTAACAAATTCAGCCAATCCAATGCTTTCCTGTCTGAAAGCATTGTGATTGGCTGCTAGAATCACTTCTGATGATGTCAGCCAAGCAGGCAGATCAGGGGCAGAGCCAGCAGCAGCAGACTGGAGTAAAAGTAAAATGTTGCTATGTTTATGTGGCCAAGGGGGGCTAGATAGTGATTTTGCCACTATAGTGTCAAGAATACATGTTTTTTTTTTCCTGACCCTATAGTGTTTATTTAAGCATTTACCTCTCCAGATATTGTCTCTCAATTGTAGTCAACTTCCAAAAAAAGTGTAAATTGCACACATCAGGGTTACTAGGAGTCAATTTTATCTGGGAATATTTTATAGTATATAACAGAATTAGATAGGATGTTCTCATCATAGTGAGAAAAGTGCACTTTAACACAGTGTAATGCATTACTTTCAGTAATACAACTAGCAATCCCACGTGTGTGTGTGTGAAACTACTTCACTAGCCTACTTGGAACACATCAACCTTTGACCATGTATACAGTTGAAATGTTGGTATTTGACATTTTGTATTATGAATATTTGTTTCTTTAGGGGTCAGTGTTGCCATAGTTCCACATTGCTAAATCTGTGAGCTCTGGATAGCTGTATCTTGGCCTCTACTCGATTCAAATTATTGCTAAACCTTAATTCAGATTGCAGGTCCAAATGCTAACAGTGATCCAAACATAAACTTTCCCATTGTTTTAAGCAGAGGTCTTAAGATTAGACTATTGTAAATTTCACCCATAGGATTGTAAGTGCTGCAAAGCATGCATTTTAGAATAAATTCCATTCCAGATTTTTGTGAGGAAAATTCTAACTAAATAAACACCCACTTGATCATAGTGTTGAATGCATAAAGGACCATGGTAACTATCACTAGTGAAAATGTTACCAGCCCACCGAATGCTCTACCTGGAAGCTTTGGAATGAGCACAGGCAGGAGCGAAGATGCTTGAGATATAAGGTACATTAAATGGCTTTATGTAAATTGACAAAAGTACCTCTAAGGTTAAAAATAAAGGTTTGTATTCTTTAAACATTAAGGTGTTCCTTTAATAGTGTGTTCGTATAAGGTACAGGATACAATACTCACTGTATGCATTTTTTTTAAACACTTTCGCAATAGGCAAAACGTAACACAAACTGCAATTATCTTCATTAATTACAAGGACTATGTTCATGAAAGTGTTTTTCAAAAGTCTTATTATTTCACCAAGAAAGTTCATAGAGTCTTTTTTGAGTTGTACATGTCTTTGAGGAACATTCAGCTTGGGTGCAAGGTTAAACTATATACACAATACACAACTCTGGAAGCAGTTATGTGATTATTCAGGTTTTATTTCCAACACAAAAAAGGGAGAAATATTATCTCATGGAATGGAATATATTCCTACATATCCTAAAATTTTGAATTGTCAGTTGTATGCAGAATAGGGAATTGGCGAAGGCACATCAAAAAAAATTTGGCAACCTGGAAGACAGGACATTTTTATGGCAATAAGGAGCATCCTGTGTGGAAACACTGGCTAATGTGATGTAAAACAAAATAAATTCTAGTTCACTGCTCACTGCATGGTGTGCTATAATAGATATCTCACAGAATTTTTGAATTCCATCTTATATAACATGATCATATAAACAAAAATCATATAAATGACTTGGCACTGCACTGTCTTGTTGCACTAAATCTATGGTTAAAAACTACATTTGAGTCAACATAAACACGCCTGATGCCTTTGCTATATTTTGCATGACCAAAATCCATTTTTTTTTTGCAATATAACCAGAGTCAAATTGCTCCCCTCAATGACCACAAATATTCCAGAATGTAAGGATGAGCAGGTTAGATCCTTGGATGAAATATTAATTTTATACAGCCACTTTATATGCAGTCAGATTCATTTTTTTCTTATTTTTTTTTGTTTGTAGTCATTGAGGACTGATAACCAAAATATACAAACAAATAGTATTTGCGTTTGTCCCACACACAGTCTGTCAATCATTATCACATAAATGATAAATGCATAGGATATGATAAAATTAAATCAGAAGAAAAGTACTTGAATGAATACTCAGTACCAATAATAGTTTATACCAGGGGCAAACTTTAGCACTCCAGATATTGTGGACTACATCTTCTATGCTGCTTTGTCAGCATTATGGCTGTGAGTGCATTATGGGAAATGTAGTCCACATCATGTGGAGTGGATACCACTGGTCGATACTGTCATTTAGTCCCGATTCTGACATGTAATATACTACATATTTAAACTTATCATTGCTCTGTTGAACTACAGGTAGTAAATAAGTAATATATTTCATTTTGGGACAACCTATCCAAAGTGCAGACAGATGATGGCACTGATTGTCATTTTTGTCTCAATGGGCTTCATATTAACGCCCAAGTGAGGGGCATGAGCTTATTTTCTATACAGCCCAATATATTATTAAATTTACATTATCTTTGCTAACACACAATTAGTTTATAAGTCATTGTCACAAAATATTGGCTAGACAATTAAAAGACAGAAGTTTTCTGTTTTTTTTTTGTTTTGGGGGGGGGTTGGGTGGTTGTACATTTTTACTTCTTGTTTCTCTCTAGTAAGTCTTCAATATTTATGAAGAAAGGGGACACACAACGTTTTACAATGAGCACAAGAAACTGATTGGATGATCATGGGTATAGGTTGCTACATTTTGTGCCCCTGTAGTAGTAGAGGGGTATAATTTGAATAAGTGTTATAGAGAAAACAATGCTTTTAATCGTTTTGAGTTACTTGGACCTTATTATTTATGGGCAAGAGAACCTTGAAGAGAGCCTTCAGGATGCTACCAAGCCATTATTAGTAACGAGGTTGTACCTTGTATCCTTCAACTTATTAGGACGTTCTTCACCAGTATCTGTCAGTTTGCATTCACTTATTTCCAGGAAGAATTTTTCTCAGCGCTATCTTAACCATCAATTTAACTATCGAGTTTTTAAGCTATGTGCTGTACAACCAAAAAAGGGCTTGAAAACAATCCTCTACAAAGCATTATCCATCCTGCAGGAAGACCAGGTGTTGGAGGCCAAGAACTCTCCTTCACGTATATCTAAGATCATAGGGTCAGTGCAGTATGTCAAGTGCTGTCCAGTGCTGATTTGAAAGAAGCAACATATTTTTTTTTCCTTTTAAAAAATAGTATTTTCCATGAATAAATTAGTTCTTCTATCGACTACTATAAAACAGATTCCATGTTTTCACACCATTCGTGATCTTCAAGGTTATAGATGAATTTTGTCCTATGAGTTTTTTTTTGGGACAAAGAGTCTCGCCCTAAATTATCTAAGGTTAACGTAGAGGCAAAAAATTCACTTGTACTGAGCCCTCCCTCATGGTTTTTTATATATCTTTTATAGTTTTTCCTTAAGCATTGCCAGGTGGTTGTATACAGGATAAATGCTAAAGATTTCAGCGTTATAGCAATGCTTACATATAGGTATCTGTAGGCTACATTATCATAGAGGGCACATGCACCCTTCTTTCCACAAAACGTACTCCAAAAAAGACAGGTGGAATCGATTCCAGCTCCAAAAATAAGCGGGGGAGGAATGAA